AAGAACAGAAACAAAGACTTAATTTAAAACGAAGAATCTTAGTCTTCCTTAGATTTATTAAATGATTATGTTACTTTGGGAATGTGTAATCAAAATTGCTACAATTTAAAGGTTGAGCAAAATACAAATAAGCCTATTTTATATCGAATAAGGCTGTCAAACAAGTACACAGTTCACCTGATAGTAAGTGGACTCCGTGGCCCATGGACACCTATATCTATCCTCGATTAAGAATCAAAATAAAGATTATGAATTTAAGATTATTACAATTTAAATGTGCCTAAAGAATACTAATTACGAATAGAGTGGTTTGAAATCGGGACATTGCAATTATAAAGTAAAAGTAACAGTTTGTAATTCTAGTGACAATGTTTATAAAGTAAGAATATTTCAACAGCTGGTGATGAAGAATGGGTAGAAGACTATATTAGGGAAAAATATTTTGTACAATAATGCTTATATATCAAAGAAACAGCGAATGGACTTTCTACTGCGTATCTAAATATATACAAATATAATATACCCTACTAAAATTCTTTAGACAATTTAAATAATAAATTTTAGACTCTCGAACACAACAATAAACTTTCATATATTTTCGACTGTTTTCAAATATAGCCATACGTTGAATAAACGTTGGGATCACTCAACGTTTATCATCAAAATTTTATGCAACATCTTTACGTGGCTATGAGTTTTTGAAATTTTAATTCTTTTAACAGTTTGTCGATAGGCAAACATACCAACATACGAAAAGATATGGAGATTTAGTGTAAATCTAAAATAAAATTTCTCACAAACAGTCACCTTCTCGTGCTGTTCAACACTGAACGTGCAACGTAGAAGCAAGGTGACCGCGTTACCAAAACTAACGCTCACTAACGGTTGTTGCTGAGTAATCTTAGCATATAATGTAAAATAGTATTACTATTAAGTTGTATAAATTGTAACATTTTGTAAATAAATCCTCTTTCAACTCTGGACCACGACTTCGTTAGATACTATCGCCGAGGCTCCTAGTAAGGTCTCTCTCTCAATGCAGCTAAGCCACTCGGATAGCCATCGTAGCCCTACTAAACAAACACCGACAATCAACTTGGCACCGCTGAAGAGACTGTAGCACCGCCCAAATTTCAACGGAATCAAAGGCCTTCTCATAGTCAACATACGCCAGGCAAAGTGGCAGATTATACTCTTCGGATTTCTTTACAATTTGCCGAAGGGTATGTATGTGGTCTTTGGTCCTAAAGCCTTTTCGGAAACCGACTTGTTCGGGAGGCTGGAAGTTGTCGAGTCTGCGTGCGAGACGGTTCGTAATGACTCGAAAACAGCACGTAGACGCGGCTCAGAAAGGATATCGATCTGTAATTCATCAAGAGGGCGTTGTCATCTTTCTTGAAGAACAAGATCACCGCACTTCTGCTCCACGCCTCGGGAGTAGTGCCTCCATGGAGGACGGAATTAAAGAGCTTCTGAAGGACTTCAAGTACCGGTTTTCCACCCGCTTTCAGAAGCTCCGCTGTAATTCCATCCTCGCCCGGGGACTTGCCGTTTTTAAGGTGCTGGAGAGCCATTCTAATCTCGTTCAGACTGACGTCCGGGATATCATCAGAGTAGTGTCGGATAAGACTTGCTCTTGGATCGTTACTCACACTTGCGTGTGGCTCCAACGATGATGTGTACAGCTGCCCATAGAACCTCTCAATCTCACTCAGAATTTCAGGTGTCCCGGAAACGATGCTGCCACAGTCAGTCTTCGGCTATGACAGTTGGCTCTTACTGGCAGACAAGGCCTGGTTCCGCTCAATCGCTTCTTCAATACGAGCTGTATTGAAGTTGCGTAAGTCCTGCCGCATGCATTTGGAGATCTGTCTGTTCAGTTGCCTGTATGCTGTCAAATCTGCTGACGACTGCAGCTTCATCGCCCGTCTAATATCCATGAGATTAGTAGTGTGATCGGAGAGTTTTTGTGTTCTTCCGCAGCGGGTCTTGCAGAACTTAGCTCCGACCGCATGGGCAGTTTCCACAAGCTTGTCATTCATATCGTCCACTGTATTACAGTCTTCAAGGCACTGAAAACGGTTTTGTAATTCGAGCTGAAAGTTTTCGGGACCCTGGATTAGCGCACGAGGTGGACGGAGCGTTGACTTCATTAGAGGAGACCTCTCCAACTTAACGCTTAAGTTCAGTGTGCCTCTAACCATTCGGTGATCGCTGCCAGTTTTAACCCTCGCGATCACTGAGACATCACTGAACAGTTGGCGTCTGGTCGTCATAATGAAGTCAATCTCATCTCATTTCTCTCCACCAGGTCCACATCCTGTGGGGCTGCTTCTGGAAGAAAGAGTTCATCATAAAGAGTCCCTCTTTCTCTATAAATTCGGCCAGCTGCTGACCCCTAAGTTTATCAACTTCCGCTTCAACTCACCGCTTTCTCTTGTGCCTAGTTTTGCGTTGAAGTCTGCCATAAACACCGTGTAGTGGGTTTTAGAGGAATGCATGGCTCTAGAAATATCCTCATACATTTCCTCCACCTCCTCATCGCGATGTGCCGAGGTTGGTGCGTAAACCTGTATGACCTTCAGCGAATACCATTTGGTGATTCTGAGTATCATGTACGCGACTCTCGTCGACATACTCCCAATCTTTACAACGTTGTCGACAAGAGACTTATGGACGATAAATCCGACACCTCCTTGGGACAGATGGTCGCCCTCCCGGTGATAGTACAAGTGGCCGGACTGAAGGATTACCGTATATTCCTCCTTTCTTCGGACCTCGGGTAATCCAATAATATGCCAGCGCAACTTGTCTACCTCTTCTTCCACCTTCAGTATCTTCTCGTCAGTCCTCAGGGTGCGTGCGTTATATGTTGCCAGGTTGAGTCGTTGTAGGTGGCAACCGAACCTCCACCAGAGATCCTTAGCAAACCTTAAAACGATATTACCGATGATTAATGTTTTACTTATGGTTTTTTTTTAAATACCTCCTGTTCTCTGCAGTCAAAATATGGAACATTACTTGACTGGCAGTGAGCGAACCCCATCACCTGAACCTTGACATCCAATCTCCGTCGGTCTGTTTATTTATGAATATAAAGTCGGGCTAGAGTATTAGGGACTGCTAGGGACTGCTAGGTATTGGGAACTTGGTTAGAGTCTGCAGGGTCTAATAAAAGAATGGAATTGTTTATAAAAAAATATTTAAATATACTTTAAATGAATTATTCTTTGATTTATATATAAATTTGTGGAAAAAAAATAATGCAACTTCTCTATTATTGATATATGTTGCCTAAGAATAATAAGAAAAAATTCAAGAAAAAATGTTTTAAATAAAAAGGACTTTATATATCTCAGGTTTAAAGTTTTTTATAAGATATCGTATCGTACAAGGTGTTAAAAAATTGTCAACAATTTTAGGTTCAGGACCTAGTTTGTGTGTCGGTAATGACTTGATGGCCCCTGGCGACCGCATGGGCCATGACGGATGCCGAGCCAGAAGTGGTTGCTGTCGCTGTAGCGACTCCTGCGTCGTATGAGTACGCAATGGCAGTAGCAACTGAGGAGCCTGTAGCAGTATGGGGTCCCGTACCATAGCCGCCCATCACAGCCACGGTTACCGATGGGCTAGTTCCGACTGCTTTGATGACGGTACCTATTCCACCAGTGTTGAATACTGCAATATTTTTTAAACAATATATATATATATATATATATATATATATATATATATATATATATATTTATATATATAATTTCTACAGGTATTATGATGTCTGACGTAGTGGATGGAGGTAAACACGGGCGCCTATTTTAGTTTCAAACGAATTTGAGAAGATGAAAAATACAAGCATGCACCCAGTTATTAGCAGTAACGCAAACATCAATTACATTTGGCTATTATCGACCTGAATATTACTCAATTTGCCACGTAATGACAGCGTACTAGAATCTAATTCCTCACATCATCCTGTAAATGTCGTAAGAGACGACACAATAAAGCTAAAACAAATCAGAGATCAGAAGCAAAATAAACTGATAACTAACACAATATAAAATAAAATTATCTCCAGTGGTCAACGCGCCGACCAAGCGTAGCAACTATGGGAAATCCATAAGCAATCTTTGGGAGAGGCAAAAGTTCAACTTTCGACTTTTAGTATACTGTAATGAATTATCCAATAGTTACGCTAAAGATTTCCCGGATAAATCGTAAGTATTGTGGTGGGCTAGCTACAATTGACCTGCTTTTGATGTTGCGTAAATTTCTTAGCGTACCTACATCTATATTCGATTAAAAAGTAGTCCACTGCTGAACATAGGCCTCGTCCATAATTTGCCATAGTTATAATAATTCCCCATAATACTTTGCCGTAGTTACCCGGCTTTGCAAGCGGTTTGGCAGCCGTAGGTTTTTAATTTTTGTCTTTATTAGGAAGACGCTGCTGCCCATTTCCTTATTTGTTCCCTTTGTCGCCTTTTACGATAATCACAGGATGATATGGGGTAGTGTATATTCTTACACCACCACTACATGTTAAAAATGTGAAAACATACCCACATAAACCCTTAAAGATTAACCTTTGAGGATGAAAATGAAATGCCTTACGATCAGTGAAAAGAGTCTACGGTACTCCTAATTTACAGTAAAAAACACAGCAGCGTTATTCTTTTACGCAGGTATTCGGTGAGATCGTGGTCTTCCAAGATCGAACCGACTCTTCGTGCTGCAGCCATAATGCAACTCCAGCGTGGGTCCACCACGTGTAACGTAAAAAAAAGTCGCCAAGGGGGAGTTCTTCAAAACCTTTCGTGGATACCGGTAGAGACCGGTGACAACGAGCCAGTTACGATTACTACTACTACTGGTAGTATCAACTGGATTACAGTAATAGTAAGCAAGTTAGTATTGGATTATACTATTACTTAAAACCACATATTCAATTGCAGTTTGATTATCACAAGGTTGTTCAATATATCTAATCATAGATTATTTGATTATACGACGTAAAAATTACCTAAGGAAGCAGAAAAGTCTTTGTCAAAGAACGGTAATCCAGTGCGTCTGGTCATAATTATCATTCTAAAGTTTTTGTGCACGGGAATAAAACTCGATGATTTGCTTCCAGAACTATTCATAAATTCCTTGGGAATTATTTTCCTACCATCACCCAGTACCATCACTTTATATTCCATTAAAGTGTTTAATCTGCTTGTCACTTTTATTGGTGCTTTATCTGCTTCACCAACAACTAACACGTAGCCATATTTAACGGCTTTAACAAGAGGTGAATCCTCATAAGTAACAGTGCCATTTTTGAAAGTTGGTTGAACTGTTAAAGACTGAATTGTTGTGTCGCGGTGCAGTTGTATGTATTCTGTAGGACGATTTAAAAGCTGTAACAGTCTTTCTGTACTTTTATTGCTTTCAAATCCCTGGTTATCGACTAGCAATAAATGATTACCTCGTCGAATATCCTGGAGCAACCACTCTGTTACTATTTTATGTTGCGGCATGTTATCGATATCTATATCGGGAATTTCGTTCAAAGCTTCAATTTTATGTACATACATGTTTATACTCCTTTTATCATTTGATGATATTCCATAAATTTTGCCTTTTTCACGACCAATAACACCAATACGTGATCGCGCTTCTATTTCAATCTTTTGACTAGTAGCGCTATCTTGTTCTATTTCGGAAGCAGAGTCCATGGAGTATTTAGAATTTCTGTCCGGTACTCTAAATATTGCATTGAGAAGAAAGAAGAGAAATTTTTTGATGGAATGATTTCTGATGTTTGGTTCACCAAATCAATCACGGAAAATCGTAGTGATGATACAATTTCGCCATTCTGAAACCAATAATAAATATTTTTATTAAAAAAGTCGCGGCTTAAATTGTATAAAAATATGTACCTTAAGTTACATAACTCATAATTAAACATTTATACTGGCGAGTTGTATACTTTGGGCGCCCTTGAATGTTTTGGCTAATAAAACCATTTGAATACATAATTTCTTTATAGATTTTCACTATCAATCGGTCGTCGCAGCCTCGCCCGTCAGCAGAGTGCACTGCATGTAGGTGAAATTGCCATTAAGAGACAAAATGTTGGTATTATATTTCTCTCTTTAACCTATTTGTTATGTAAAGATTCAAGTGACCTGAAAATAAAAGTGCTAGAAGTGCAATGAAAAATCTCCATGTGATAGCGGCTTTTTTCCAGTGGATGTCTTAAGAGTTAACTACGGAATAGGCCAGAAAGACATCATGGCCATCGACATAAAGGTCAATGCCCATTAGTAGACTATTACGGGAATAGTGACGAATAATTAGAAAAAGAAATAGATTTCACTCTACATTACATCCACATTTTTTACAGAAATATAGTCACTAAACCAGGTTACATATTGGATAAATTTCTTCATGTATATATATTTTTAATTTAATTTTGTATATCAATAAAATAATGTCACAAACAATTTCTTTGTTAGCCTGTTAACAGTCCGTTGCCGGGCATTATTAGGACCCGAAGAATTTGCCACAATCACCTTACTTGTAGTAAAGAAGTAATAATGTCCTCCAGACCGAATTTCGGCCACGGCGGCCTGCCTCAACGGAGGCTAGCCATCGGCGCAGGACAGGTGCACTCTCTATTCCCTCACTCTCATAATCCGATGGGACGGTCAACCGACACAACCGGAGAGAGGCGCAGGACCAACAGCTTTACGTGCTTTCGGAGGCACGGGGGTGAGACACCGCCAACTTCCTCAAGTAAAGAAGTGACCCACTATTGACGCCGTTCCCAATCGCGGTTCAGGATACACACCTGACGTATATGAGGTGGTTATATTTCCATCTATCGAAGTCATTAGTTTATCCTGGATTTTACGTGATTGTAGGGTCTAGTTAATAAGGTGCCTGGTTTCTATTTTGTTGATCATGAGTTCTAATACCGGATGGACGCAGCATTAGTGCAAGAATGCAATATTGGTTAGGGTTCAACTGTGTCAAAAATATTTTACTAAGTTTATTCTTACATACTTCAAGTTCTTATGAACCTCTTAAACATGTCATAAAATATTAAAACTCTGATTACCTGCGGAGTTAAACGTTGGTGTTCTCTATCAGAGGACGGTGGTTCGGCAAAACTATGCTAACATTCTACAATAAAATTCACACGTTATTTATTGTTACACTTTAACCATTGGCGAAAGAAAGTGTACCGCAGAATGTTCGTATACAATTATATTTAACAAACGCCTTAGGTATATAAATGATTACATATATTAGAGCCGTAGTAGCTCAGATGGTTAGCGCTCGATGTAAATTTCACAGTAAGCGAGCAAACCGGGTTCGATCCCCGCCGGCACCAATGAAATTGTTAATTGCAGTTTTAAGTGCGGATTTACCACGTGCTCGGCGGTGAAGGAAAACATCGTGAGGAAAGCTGCATGTCTGAGAAATAAGAAAAAAATATATTTCGAAGACATGTGAAGTTCGCCAATACGTATTGGGGCAGTGCGGCGGAAAATTTCTTGCCCTAAAAACCCTCTCAGAAATGAGCGGATGCCTGTGCCCAGGGGTGGGACGTATAAGGCTATAACTTTAACTTTTAGGTATATGTGACATTGAATACCAAAGGGATAATTTTAAGTTGTAAGTAGTAATATTAGAAAATCTATATTTCATTTATATCTCGTATATAATATGTACATCTGCATTTATTTATATTGGGTGTATTTGTTAGAATGATATTATTTATTTGCAGTTTGATAATAAACATATTTTTGTTTAACTTCTTCCTATGAATTAATGAATTTATTTCAGACCGTTTTTTTACGTGGTAGAGCTACGCTACAGCTATATTATTTTTAACTTATTATTAGCTAGCTAGGAGACTCAGGACCCATTTCAAATTGGTCCTCATGATGTATTGTATATATTTGTAAATTGTATGTAAACTATAAAAATGTCAATAAAGAATTGTGGTTTATCAAGAATGGGTCGCTCGACCGGGGTGGGAACACGCTCTCACAGAATACCAGCATAAAATAGCAGCTTAATTTTGTTGTGTTTCGTATGGTGAGTGTACAGAACCGGAGACCCTTGTTACTGGAAACGAGGCATTCCATCTTAGTCCTCAGGGGTGACAAGGCATGTGCAATTTGATTTTAAGTTGATGATTGATGTAGATATCACTGCAGATGGCCGCAGCATCCACTTACCATCAGGTGGACTGTGTGCTCGCTTGTCACCCTTATTCTATAAAAAATACTTTCTAATCACACGTCGTAGGTGTTACAAGTGGTGACTTATGGTAAGCTGGAGAATCTTCTTTTTAAAAAAACATCAAAGGCAAGACACAACAACCTACTAAAGTAGCATCGTAATAGGATAAATGGTATAGGTCAGGAACGCATGGAAGAACAAACAAAGAGATATTTTTATATAATATATTAGATATAAATAGATGTGATAGCTCAAGAGCTCGCCGTAAATTACAGAGTACGCCAGCAACGCGGATTCAATCCCCGCTGGCACTTATAAAATTATTTTAGTACTTCTGCTTACCGCAAGCTCGGAGGTAAGGGAAAACAAAAACGCATTTAAAAAAAATTAAGTGACAAATTAACTCTTTCCTGCATTTTCTTAAATTAACCACCTGAGACGTATTTAAGCTGTAACTTCACTCACTGTGCCTGTAATTACTGCGTATCTGATACACATAAATTAATAATAACTACATAACCAAACTAAAAATCAAATATAATGATTTCTTATATTTTTACGCTAACACTACACATTGAATGAAACTACTTTTACGGATTTCATCGCGTTAATTAAAATGCTGAAGGTAGGTACTCCGAGTTAACGCTGACATCGGGACGTCAATTACCTCAGTCCGCCGTGACCATAGGTGCTGGAAAGCACCCTAAACATCGGGTATTAAAAATTAAGCAAAATAAAAGTGCTTTTATTCAATAAATATCAATTTTATACAGCCTATATACGTCCCACTGTTGGGCACAGGCCTCCCCTCATTTCTGAGAGGGTTTTAGGGCAAGGAAGTGTCCGCCGCGCTGCCCCAATGCGTGTTGGCGAACTTCACATGTCTTCGAAATATTTTTTTCTTTCACGAAATTTTCCTTCACCGCCGAGTACGTGGTAAATCAGCACTTAAAATTGCAATTAACAATTTCGTTGGTGCCGGCGGGGATCGAACCCGGGTTTCTCGAGTTCTGTTATATTTACAGCCAGCGTTAACCACCTGAGCTACCACAGCTCTAATATAATAACTAAATGTGCTTTTACTTTCTTAAGCTTTATAGCTTCATTGTTTCATCCCCTAAAATATCTAGAAACGTGATTTCAGGAAAAAAACGTTGCAATCATTTTTAAATTTTCTTGCAGAAGCATAAGTAGCAATGAGTTTATCACCCCATTTGATACAGGTGCAATTGTGAATCTATACCATTCTCTAATCAACACAAAATTTCATCAAAATCGGTCTGGCTGTTTAGGAGGAGTTCAGTCACATACACATGGTCAGAAGAATTATATTATATTATTTTTTTATATAATAAACTATATATATATATATATATATATATATATATATATATATATATATATATATATATAAAATTGCATTGTACATATAAACCTACCTCTTGAATCATTCTGTCGATTTTGATGAAAACCGCATCAAAATCCGTTGTTTAGTTTAAAAGATCTAATCATACAGACGACGGGAAGCGACTTTGTTTTATACTATGTAGAGAAGAGTATATCAACGACTTAACTGATGATATGCACATATGCTGTCGATATATACTTAGATATACGTGTATTATGCAACAAATCAAACTTATAAGAAAATATGATAAAATTGAAGTATTTTTAATGTTTCGGTCCGCGAGGTTAAGTGGTGTGAGGCGTTTGTCGGCTAAGGTTACTATTTCTTGGAGAAGTGAGTGTTCTGAGCGTTGATGGAAATATTGTCGAAGGGATTTGATTTCTTTATTGTGCAAGTTGAGGACATCTATTATACCTCGTCCTCCCTCGGATCTTGAAAGAGTCATCATTTGCACGCATGATCTAGGGTGGTGCTTGCGGTGAGTCGTTAAAGTGGTATTTATAATACGTTGCAGATTGATAAGGTCACCTTGAGTCCAGTTTATTATACCAAACGAGTATGTCAGTATGGGGATTGCGTAACTATTGATTGCTTGTGACATGTTGCGGGAGTTGAGTTGAGACCGGAATATACTATAGCCGATGTTTAAATTTCTTTTTGAGACCTTCATTCGTTTCCTTTTGATGGATCTGTCGCGCTTGTTGGAAACCTAAGTATTTATATGAGGCTTGGGGTTCTAGAGGTTCAATCGTGTCTCCTGTTACTAGGCTATAGCTGTTGGGGTTAATTTTTCCATTTTTAACCGAGAAAGTTTTGCATTTGTCAATCCCAAACTCCATATGAATGTCGTTTGAGAAAGATTGGGTGATGTCTGCGAGGCGATGCAATGACTGTGTAGTGTTACTGTATAGTTTTATGTCATCCATGTACATCAGGTGTGTTAGTGTGGTGTGATGATAGAGTATTTAATAATAGACTTAAAACTATAGATGAAAAAGTATAGTTCTAGGATTTTTAAAAAAACACTGTAAAAGAACAATAACAAATTACTATTTAGTAAAAAAACTACCAATTACTACTTAGTAAAGATAAAATTTATGAAATCTTTAGCGTAGGGAATAAAAGATGAAAATCTAATTTTTGTCACAGTCCTTGTTCTCGGTGAACCATTAGATAAATTAAATAAAAATATGCGTTTATTGTGTACATATAACTATTTATTGTTAAACAAATTAAAACGACAAATTATATGTAAAAGCCAAACGAGAACAAAGTTAAAATGAGCAGGCGAGCGCGGACTTAGCAAAGAAATAGTAACACACTCTGCTTCTTTAACCCGCGAGAACTTGCGCTATGAGCATTTTCTCGCGGGTTAAAGAACAAAAACCTACCTGACAGTCTCCTGCGCCGTGTAGCTGAGTTTTATTCCCTTTCTGTCCCGCAACATACGTTGGCCTTGAGTTAGTGTGCTCCAGTCAGTCATAGAGGAAGGTTTGTTCGAATCACCTCCAACGCGCGAGGTTTCGCTCTTCGCGCGAGTATCGGTGTAAGTATCGTTTTTGTGAGTAAGTTTTTTTTTTCAAATGTTTAATATTTATATATTCTACGTTTTGAGTCATTTTTTAAATTAACAGTGATGGTTTGTGTATAAACTATAATTTAAAACAATAAAATTAGATAGATAGATGGGGGGATAAGTCGCTCGCGTCCGTAGGCTTCGACCACCTAATCCTAGGCCCACCCTACACGTTTCCCCCGGGTGGTGCTAAAAGAGCGACAAAGCTGAAAGAACAGACTCGGCTACTCGCCGTGTGGTAGCGGCGTAAAATATGCCACGCCCTAGTTTTCGCACCATGAGGCAAAAAGTAAAAGAAATGGCCCCGAAGTTCCCGGCGCCCCTTTAATGGGGCAGGGGTGCGAAGAATCTCCGGGAGGAAAACCGGCGACGAGGTTCGCCACCCGTCACGTTCTGTCTTCCAGAGAGGCGAAAAGTGGATTGCAGAGGCCCGTCTGGCTACGTTGAATGTATGTGGGGCAATGAATGATAAAATGGATGAAGTATGCGATATGATGTATGATAGAGGAATAGATGTATTATGTGTAAATGAGACGAAAAGGAAGGGGAAGGATGTCACTGCACATGGCACTATACCGCATACTGGTCTGGTGTAGACGAGATCGAGCGGGCATGCCAGGGAGTAGATATCATCCTTTCAGAAAGAATGGGCCAATGTGTGAAAGAGTATGAATGTGTAAGCCCAAGACTGCTATGGATACGAATGAAAGTGGGCTTAAAGAAGTTGTTTGTGTTAGGGGTCTACGCCCCAGACATGTCTAAGCCCACTTATATCCGGGAGCAGTTTTGGGAAATGGTAAGGATGGTGTTAATGAAGTGCAAGGGAAATGAAAATATTATTATGCTAGGAGATTTTAATGGAAGGGTTGGGGTGAGGAGGCTTGGTTATGAAAGGATATTGGGAACGTTTGGTGATGAAAGTATAAATGAGAATGGTGAAAGCCTCCTCACCGTATCTGTGGAAAGGAATCTTTTTGTGACGAACACTTTCTTTCGTCATAAGAAGATTCACATGTATACTTGGGAAAGAGGTGATGATAGAAGCATGATAGATTTCATAACTGTGGATGAAAGAATGAGGAGCGCAGTGGTGGATACAAGAGTTTACCGGGGGTCCAACGTAGGGACGGACCACTACCTGGTCTTATGTCGAATTAGGGGTTTATTCAGACGTTGGCGGCATAGGACATCTGTGTCTACCACTGCGTTACAGCGTATAAGAATTGAGAGATTACAAGATGAAGATGTGAAAGACAAGTACAAATGCAGACTGAGAGAAAATATAAGTAATTTGGATGAGTTGTGTGTGAATGAGTTAGACTTGGAGAATGTGTGGCATAATGTTAAGAAAGGTTTAGTGGATGCAGCTACCGAAGTATGTGGTGTTAGTAAGAGAACAAATGAAAGGAAAGACAATACGTTATGGTGGGATGATGAGGTACGTATGGAAGTTGAAGCAAAGAAGAGAGCATGGCTGGATTTACTAGCGACCAAAGCTGGTAATTCTGGCGGTAAGAATGATGAGAATGAAAGAAAAAAGGCAGAGTTTAAACGTTTAAATAAGAGAGTAAAAGAATTAGTTGAAAGGAAAAAGCAAAAAAGAACGGATAGGAATGATAGAAGAATATCGGATAACTTCCAGGCAAATATTAAAATGTACTGGAAACTCGTAAGAAATACCAGGGGACTTTCAAAACAGCCTAGATTGAATGCGATACGAGACGAGAATGTTCCTGTATCCTGAATGATGAAGTGTTGAGTCTAAAGAGATGGAAGGAATATTTTGAAAGCGAATTTATGAGTGAGGAGAAGTGTGAACTAAATGAAATAGAAATTCCGAAAGAAGATGAAAGAGATAGGGAGATAATTATAGATGAAATAATGAAAGCAATGAAAAGCATGAAAGTAGGTAAGGCAGCCGGATATGATAGTTTCACACGAAATGCTAAGGGCTGGAGAGGACGTGGTGGCAGGCCTGCTGTACACCTTGTTTAATTTATGTTGGGAACTAAAGCGGGTACCGGGAGACTGGTGCAAAGCCGTGATAGTCCCAATATATAAGGGAAAAGGGTCACAGCAGGACTGTAAAAACTACCGTGGTATCAGCCTTCTTAGCATTGTGGGAAAACTGTATGCTAAGGTACTAATTGAAAGAGTTATGAAAGAAACTGATGAAAAAATTTGGGATGTGCAAGCGGGATTTAGAAAGGGAATGGGGTGTACAGATCAAGTCTTTTCCATGCGCATGATCGCGGAAAAGTTTTTGGCGAAAAACCAAAAAGTTTTTTGTGCGTTCATGGACTTGGCTTGGACTTGAAAAGGCTTATGACAGAGTGGACAGGGATGTGTTATGGCAAACGCTGAACGCATTTAGGTTGAGCGCTGGTTTGATACAGGCATTAAAGTCTCTGTATAGGGACTCGAGTGCTTGTGTTAGAATCAACGGGGTCTACTCGGACTGGTTTGGCATCCATAAAGGTGTCAGATAGGGCTGTGTAGCTTCCCCGTGGCTGTTCAACCTATTTATGGACAGCTGTTTGGAAAATTTGAAAGTTGAAGAATGCGGGTTAAGAATGGGTGAGTTAACCATCAAATGCCTTTTGTACGCCGATGATCAAGTCATACTTGCGTCGTCGGCGGCCGAGTTGCAAATGATGGTTACATTAATGAACAGGTCATTAAAAGAAAGGGGAATGAAAGTAAACGCAAGTAAGACGAAAGTGATGGTTTTTGAAAGAGATGAAAGCAAAACGGTATGCGAAATAAGAATAGAAGGAGAGTTAATTGAGCAAGTGGATGAGTTCGTATATTTGGGATGTGTATTCAGCAGGGATGGGAGATATGATAAGGATATTGAACGACGAGTGAATGCAGGAAATAAAGTAAATGGGGCTCTACACTCTATTGTGAAAAGTCAGAATGTGTCAAAAAAGGCACGTATGGCAATTCACAGTGCTGTATTAGTCCCTACTTTAACGTATGGTAGTGAAAGTTGGATGTGGCAGAAGAAGCACGAGAGTAGAATAAATGCAGTAGAAATGCGGTCGCTAAGGAGTATGTTAGGGCTGAATCTGAGTGACAGGGTGAGAAACTGTGTGATAAAAGAAGAGTGTGGTTTGCAAGATGATGCGGTGACCAGGATTAAGAAAGGAATGCTTCGGTGGTTTGGTCATGTAGAAAGAATGAATGCGGAAAGACTGACAAAGCAAATATATGTTGCAGAAGTGAATGGAAGAGTCGGAAAGGGACGTCCTAGGCGGAAGTTTGTTGACCAAATTGGCGATATACTAAAAATGGGCCAAATTAAGAGTACCCTTAACCGACGAGCATGTATGCGTAGGTATATGGATGTGGAAGAGGCGAGAAAGGTATGTCAGGATCGTGCTAAATGAAAGTCTGTAGTCTCTGCCTACCCCTCTGGGTGACAGGCGTGAGTGTTTATGTTTATGTTATGTAAAATTAGATCTATGTTTGTTGTAGATGGATAAAAGGGAGCAACAAATTGTGGCGTGGCTGATGGAAGAAGGTACGGAGGAAATAAAGGACCCAGATAGTAGGATTGACAAAGCAGAGAGTGACGGATATAGTGATCACAGTGAACATTGCACCGACACGGAACAGTCATCATGCGAAGATGAAGGTGAGATTTATTCAAGTCAATCCGAGTACGGTCTATATTACTTAGGCAAGGATAAAATTACCAATGGAAATTATCGTCCACAACGTACCAATATAAGAACAAGGTCACATAACATAGTTGACAGTAGACCAGGGGTAAAACCAGTAGCCAAAGGCACAAATAATTTAGACATTAAAAAATCATGGACCGTTATGCAAGAGACAGAGACTGTAAAGAGACGGATATCATAGAGATAGAAGCATTTATTGGGCTCTTGTATATGACTGGTATAAAGAAAATGAATCACCTTAATTTAAAAGAAATGTGGGAGACAGATGGTACCGCTCCTGATATATATCGAGCTGTCATGAATCGCAACCGATTTATGTTTTTGATGAGATGCATTCGATTTGATTATGTATAAACTCATCAGGAGAGATCTGAGTGTGACAATATTGCACCAATTCGTGAAATATTTGATTTATTTGTCGAAAAGTGTCGGGCTAACTATCAGGTTGGAGAAAATGTAACCATAGATGAAATGTTAGAATCGTTCCGGGGTCGTTGCAAATTCCGAATGTATATTGCTAACAAAACAGCCAAATATGGCATAAAAGTGTATGAACTGTGTGATGCGCATTCATATTATACGAGTAATTTAGAGATTTATCCAGGGAAACAACCAAATGGCAAATATGATAATTCCCCATCTACTGTTGTTACTCGTTTATCAAAAGATATTCTAAATTCTGGAAGAAATATAACAGCAGATAATTATTTTACTTCTATTCCATTGGCCGACGAATTGCTGACTAAACGTACTACGTTGGTTGGCACTATATGCAAAAATGAAAGGGAAATTCCACCTATGTTTTTGAATACTAAAATAAGACCAAAGCCCAGTAGTATTTTTGGTTTTCATACGGGCGGGTTCTGGTATCCTATATGCCAACCAAAAAGAATAAAAAAAATGTTCTTATGATTAGTTCTCTTCATAATGACGACCGAATCGATCCTGAAAGTGGAGATGATGCAAAACCTGAAATAATTACATTTTACAATAAAACCAAAGGAGGGGTAGATGTTGTCGATAGATTGAAAGAAGAATATTTTGTAGCTCGAGTTGCCTGTAGGTGGCCACTGAGAATTTTTTTTTCCATTTTGAATATAGCAGGTATCAATAGTCAAATTATTTATCAAGGAAATTGCGATAATTTGATCACAAGGAGGGAATATTTGAAAAAGCTGTTTCTCACACTAACCCAAGAACACATCAAGCGAAGAAGCTCTTTGCAAAATATTTCATATCCCCTTAAACAGATTATAACCCGATTTTCAAACAAAAGAGACGTTCCCGAAACTGAAACACCTCCTGGAATATGTGCGGTGTGCCCAAGGCGTAAAAATCGCAAAACGAAAAAGTCTTGTGTTTACTGTAAAAAAAATATATTCAGAACATGCAAAAATTTTGTGTGATATGTGTAAGTCTAGGTTATATGATGAGGATTAAGATATTATGTTTTGTTTTAAGAAATTTTAGGTTGAGTTTTTATTTTTTTTATTTTTTTCCAAACCCTACATGAGAAGACTGCTAAATGTAAGTTCCTAAATGTTAATGTAAAAAATATATCATTGTTTTTTCTTTACAAAAAAAACACATGCTATGTTTTAAGACTGTTTGTTTAGCGTGAGCAAAATGCTGTATACGCGAGTACTTGTGTAACATTTAATAGCGCGAGTTCTGCCGGGTTAATATAATGGAGATAATTAAGCCTATAGTAAATCACCAGCACACTATTTTATAGAAACAGCTGGCTGACACTTAGGGTCAGTTCACACCGAGACGCAACCGGCGTAGCGCGACGCATTGGAGCATTATAGAATTATCTCAATAAAATATGTATCTTTTCGTGTAGTAAATAAAGTAATATTTTGTATTACCATCTTAATAAGTACGCACCGCGTCGCGTCGCGTCTCGTCTTGGTGTGAGATGACCGTTAGGGTTGCTGACTCTGGTAATAATATCTACGAACTTTAAAGGAAAACCAAGCAGACTAATATCTTTGAAGCTATGAACGTAAAAAGTTTTTAAAAAATAAAATATTTTAAAGCCATTGGAAATTTATTTCATTTCGAGAAAAATAAACCGTAAACAGGCCACTAACACGCGCACATTTTTGTACATTACTATTTAAAGAAGCCGTTCTCCGCGCTCTGATTCTACTAAATCCAAGCACATGATAAAACGGAACTAGAATTGAGAATTCCTTGCTATGATATACGAGTATAATGTACGATCAGAAAATGGAATGACTGAGTTGGTGGACATCGAAAATTTGCAATAAAGGTCCAGCCCCGTCGTTAGAACATTGAATACATAGTTTGAAATTGACAGTCTTATCAACAATGATATAAAATAAAAATAGGTCAAAAGCTAGTGACGATTTGTAAGTAGACGATGTTAGGTACTGTTATATTTTCCTTCCAAACCTCTCCAAACCTTTCTCGCCGCCTGGCAAATATTTATATTAAAAATAATCATACAGCTTTCCCAAATAAGTTACGATCCCAATCTCAGCAGTACTTCGTCTTTTCGTCTTTCAACAACGGTTAAATCCAGCTTAGCCAAGAGACACTACATCTATGTTAATAATTATATCTACAATAAAATAAAAAATAAACGGGGTATTATCCATCCATCCTCTACCCAAACACAAATAAAAAAAACGCAATAAACTGGCTCAGATCCGTTTTTTTATATCCCCAACTATAATGATCACACACATAATAATATATCTTTAAAAAGCTTTTATTTTAAATTATAATACGTACTCGTACATATGTGTAAATACACCTAAAACATACTTACATCTCCATCATTTCATAAATTGGATTTGTCATATTAATCTTTCTTTTTACTAAATATCTCTTTACTTATAACTTTTTCAGTGAAATTAATGATCTCTTCAATGTATTTTACAAACTTGTAATTTAAGAATGTATGTAATCCGAGAAGTGGGACCTGGTAACCTATAGAAGAGGTATTGTTAAATACCTTTATTAGGCACCAGTCTCTCAAAAATTAGTATTCAATACGTTTATAATTTACAGTTCAACATGTTGGTTATCAATTATTCTGTACCTGTTTCTGATGAGAAATATAAATTCTATTCTATTCCTAATTCTATTTTGCATAATAAAGAGTATATTCTAAAGAAACAGCGAATGAAAAATCTTAGTGCTAAATAAAATATTTCCTAGTAAAACGCTTTAAGCATTCTGAAATTCTAAAAATACTCGTACTCCTAAAATGTAATATATTATTCTATTTTCATATTTATTATAGACAAAAGTACATATCATTATGGATTCATTATAAACCTAAAATATTCCCAAAAATCGTCACCTTTTTAAGCTGGAAATGTATACAGGTATAGGTGTATATTGTATTAAACAATAAATTTTATACAATTAAGTAATAAAAATAAAAAATACAAGAAAATTGGCATAAATAAAAAGGGAATTTAAACTTTATACATTTGGCGTGTATTACAAAAAGTAGTTATTATAAATTAGTCATCAGGTTTAAACTAGATTCTGTTTTAATAAATAACTTCCGTGGAAAGCTTTGAGTAATCACATAAAAGGAAATGTATGGAATTTGACGCAAATGTCAAATATACTAGCGACTGCGGTGCCGCAGAAAAATGGCTTCTTTCGTGACAAAGACTCTTCTCGCTAAAACTTGGGACTATCAATAAACCACGTTTTACAATAACACTGATAAGATTTAAATTTTCTTATAAGTTTTGTTTCAGGATCTAATTTGTGTGTCATCGATGTGTTGATTGCCCCTGGCAATCGCCTCGGCATTGACGGATGCCGAGCCAGAAGTGATAGCTGTAGAGGTGGCGACTCCTTCATCGTATGAACGTGATGTGGCAGTGGCAGATGATGAGCCGGAAGCAATTGCCGTAGCGGTTGATGATCCCCTACCATAGGTCAATGCTGTGGCAGTGGCGACTCCTGTACCCGAGGCTATTGCTGTAGCAGTATGTGGTCCCGTTCCTTGGCCACCCAACACGGCAGTAGTGATCGTTGGTCTAGACCCGACTGCTCTGACGGTAGTCCCTATCTCACCCATGTTGGTTACTGTAATAAAAATTTCTTTAAGGACTTTATATTATATACATGAGTCATTTTACAAGAAGAAGTATGATGTATCTAGAAGATGCAGAGGGTAGAATTAAAGATAATATTATATGTGGCGGCGCTGTCGTCGCGCCGCAAGCGAAAACATACCGAAGCCTAAATCACGCTATCAACATTCCGAATCATAAACAGCATATATAGAACATCTCCGAACTATCACATGGAGTGTGAGCCGCTCCCCGGGCAGAACACCTTGCCCGGCGGGAGATCTCCCCTTTTCCTTCCACGGCCACAGTGGTGACCACCCGACGTGATCTGAACACGCAACCAAACACCTTCGGAAACTACAACTTCAAGCTTTCGTCATTATCCTCAAGAACCCCTACCATTCACTATTGAGAATCGTCTTCTGCAGTCTTCAGTTCCTGCAAGCCAGTCCAACTTGTCTTCATCTCGACTCACCGCAGATTTATAAGGCAGACTTCTGGCACTTGCTCCGGCACATCGTTCTCACCGGCATCACTTGCCAGTGCGTAGTACGGCATGCATTACACATCGGCATATCATTCGCACCGGTGTCACTTGCCCTTGCGCACACAGCATGCATTCCCCACCGGCATTAAAAGGACACACGGGCAATCGGCTGCACTATCGACCTCCGGTCTGAGCAGGGGGGTGATGTGGCGGCGCTGTCGTCGCGCCGCAAGCGAAAACATACCGAAGCCTAAATCACGCTATCAACATTCCGAATCATAAACAGCATATATAGAACATCTCCGAACTATCACATGGAGTGTGAGCCGCTCCCCGGGCAGAACACCTTGCCCGGCGGGAGATCTCCCTTTTCCTTCCACGGCCACATATATTTTAATAGTTGTATTTAGTGCCCGACACAATCGCCTATTTAAATTTTTAATGAATTTATATATAGGTGTAAGTTTTAAACAGGGACCATTGGGTCAACACATCACATGTATTACAAATGGTTGTTTCTAATTTCGACCAATATTTTATAGTGTCCATTAGTACTTAATTCTGTAGTCAATAGATCCTTGGAGGATTTAGATGGAATGCCTTGTAACAAGTAAAAAGGGTCTCCGGTAATTGTCACTTATCCGATAAGTGACAATTACCGGAGACCCTTTTTGACCTTTTTTAATGCTGTTGTTTTTGTACGATAAGTCTTATCTTACAAAAACAACAGCGTTACTGTGTTATTTTAGGCTGGTATATAGATCGTAATATTCCAACGCCGAGTCAACTCAACTACCTTGTGGCTTTGTCACGTGAAACAGATTCTATCTTAAGACCTTAGTTATTAAAAGGTTGGCAAGAGGAGCAAAAATTTCTTGAATTCCGCCAGATCTTAGACAACCATTTCTATAACTGCAGTACTGGTGACAATGAGCAGTAAAAGTAAGAAAACTGTTTGTTTTAGGTCCGGCTTACATTTTGAGAAGTGACAAGTGCTAGTGGCAAGTGTAACTGACAAATGAGAAGTGCTTAGTACGAATTTGATTCACACTTATCACTTGACATTGCCTGTTCACACACACTAAGCATTTATCATTTGTCAGTTGCACTTGCCACTCGCACTTATCACTTCTCGAAATGTAAACCGGGCCATACAATCACTTGTACGACAACTTACTACTTAAACTATAACAAAATCTAAAAATTGACTATTTAATAATACGTTACAATTACCTGAAGGACCAGAGAAATCGTTATCATAGAACGGATACCCATATCGACTAGCCATAAGTATCATTCTAAAATCTTTGTGGGTAGGTATAAAACTCCCGGATTTGCTTCCAGAACTATTCATGATTTCCTTAGAAATTATCCTTCTGCCATCACTCAGTTCCATCTCTCCAGTTTTCATTAAATGGTTTAAGCTCCAAGTCACTTTTGTTGGTGCTTTATCCACTTCATCTACCACTAACACATAGCCATATTTAACGGCTTTGACCAGTGGTGAATCCTCGTAAATTACCTTTCCATCTTTGAAAGTTCGGTCTGCTGTCAAAGACTCTATCGTTGTTTCGCCATTCAGTTGTATATATTCCGTAGGACGGTTCAAAAGCTGTATCACTCTTTGTGCACTTGTATTATTTTCCAATCCCCGGTTATCAACTAGCAATAAATAATTACCTCGTTGAATATCTTGGAGCAACAACTCCGTTGCTTTGTCATGTTGCGGTATGTCACTGAAAAATAGATCGAGGTCGTTGTTCAAAACTTCAGTTCTAGACATGTTTGTACTCGTTTTTCCATTTCTCACACAAAATAATAAACCAGCTTAACTCAAAATTTGGGAAATATTCATTTTTATCATTAAAGAACACAATAGTATTCTAATTAAATTAGGTATTACCTCTCTTTTTAAACTGCCGATTTCACGCCAAGGAATTAAATAACATGAGTTATTGCTGTTTACTTTTAAAATATCACACTTTTTGATTGACAATTTTTAAAACAAATTTGGTGACGAACTTAAGTTATTTGTCCGCTTAATTGAAATTAGATCTTTCTTAGATTCTGGATCACGTAAAATACATATTACATTGTTTGTTTTTAATCACACGTAACCAGATTTCGAGTATCTAAATATGAGATGCGATGATGTGAATTATATATACTTAGTTATGAATTATTTTGTTGTGCTATTCTAACATGTTTCAGCAATAATTTTCTTCAGACTCTTTGTACATAAGGCTTTACTATACATGTCTTAGAATGTCGCTGGTTATAATAAGAGTTACAACTTTTTACGAACTGTTATTATTGTTTTTTGTAACTCAGTTCGTTCGATTCTTCCATTACACTCCTTATTTAAATACTAGATTTTTACCCGCGGCTTCGCTTGCGTGGACTTCCGTTGAGTAACATCATTAATAGTGCTCTATACCAAAATCAACAAAGTTGGATCACTTGTAGAGTCGCCTCGCTGTCACGTTTGTTAGTCAAGTGATATCTTTTGAATTCTTAGATTATTAGACGTATATTTTTTTTTTACAATTGCATTAATATAATACGTCTAGCAATCCCTGTCACTTTTTATATCGGTCATGACTTCCGAGTTATCTTTAATAAGGGTAAATTATTTTTGATTCAAGGTTACATTATTTACTCTTTACATTTATTCATAAATTAAGGTAATTTTACTTTGACTAAATAATGTTGAATTTTATTGTCTTCGATTAATGTACGTCAGTGTTTATTTGCGATATTTGTTTTGTTCATTGGCCTATTGAATATTGATTGGCACTATAAAATAGTTGCTTATATTCTTACTAATGCATCAAATAGAAATAAAAGCTTACATCGGATAACTTAATACCAAAGGAAGTTAGTGAAATTATTGCTATGCCGATATATACCCAATAAGTATAGTTATCTACTAAAAAGCTTCTCTTTTAATCACATTTTTGTATACACAGTACCCAATCTAACAGTTAGTTATTTTGCTAAACGTGACAATTACTGTAAATCATCCCGATAATGGCTGGATATTTTAAGTTTTTGATCTTGCAAGAATTAGTATTCAGTGTCATTTTATATTTAATCTATCAGTTAGTTATTATTAGTTTATTTAGCAGTAAATAGATGGCGCTAATTTTAGATTAAAACTATGAAAGCCAAACTCACAAGTTATCTAAATTTGGCCAGATCGTTGATCATATTATCATGAAATGCTGGACTACTTCAAATATCGCAATCATTTCATGATAGCCTACTATTACTGACCATCTCTCCATAGTATAAAACAAAGTTGCTTTCCACCGTCTGTATCGCTTAGATCTTTTCTACGTATATATATATATATATATATATATATATATATATATATATATATATATATATATATATATATATATATATATATATATCCTGCATGGTTTAGATTTTATATCCGGTAGGTGGCGCTGTTACCGATATCCAGAAATGACCTGTGCGAAGCCGAGGTGAATCGTTCGTATCGTATAAATGTCAACGTTTGTCAAATTTATTCATGCGCCCTCCTTTCTACCAAGGAGGGTCGCGTTCGTATACGGCTTAGAGATCTCTAGTCAGACCGTTAAGTCAGTCCCTAAAAGGTGAGGTTTAGTGGGTAAAAGTCTCACCATAACCACGCAGCCGGCTGCGTGGTATGCTATGAGCATTCCCCACCTCCCTCCCCCGTTTTCCGGAGGGTTGCCCCATATTTGCTTCGGGCGCAAAAAAAAATTATTCTCAATATACAATTGAATCTACGAAGTCGATACTCCTTTCGCCATAATATCATACGAAAGTACCATCCAGTAATATCAGCGACAGTAGATTGATATGCACCTGAGGTGATCCTTGGGCGCGAACATTCATATATATTATAATTTTCGCGATGAGGCATAGTTATGTGGATTCTGTTAAAAATCCTGTTTCTATTTAAAAAAAATGCGCTATCGGCGCCGCTAGCGGTAAATAGCGAAACTATAATTAGAATATTATGAAAAAGCAATGTTAAGTTTAGTTGTTAATTTCTTCAGACAATGTTTATTCATCGATTTGGTCAAGCCTTATCATGATATGGTTAACAGACAGTGTTAAATTTCACGAAATGCCACAATTCCATGTAATGATCAAATATTCATGATAAAATCAATTCTACTATCTGGCCACGACGTATACAAAAATATCTTTAAATAAAGTATAAGTGTAATGAGTTTTGCAATAATCGCAGGCAAACCAATGTTAATCAGTTCATTATTATATATTAGTAATTACGAGTAAACTAAAAACTATCTGAATATTTCACAGATTTCATTATTATCTATTTAAATTATTACTATTAAAATGAAAAACTTAAAATGATTCTAAGAAATTTCAAATCGTTTAGTAAATATAATTATTTAAACATATAAATGTAAGTTGTTTATGTTATTTAATTTATTTGTAAGTAACAGACAATTGAAGGCTAAATAATTAATACACTTTTTACTTTTTATGACAGATGGCGCTGTTTCGGAAACGTAGATTGTTGCCGTAGTTTCAAATTATTACATAACAGTTAAAACAAATTTTAAACTTTAATTATAAATATTATATTCGTTAAAAACACTACGTTATCCCGCTTATAACTAACAGAATCAAACATAATAGAAATATAACTTCTAAAGAGAGGAAAATATTTAATCCTCCTTTTTTAAGTTCCGTAATAGGATAAAACGTAGCCTATAAGTAGCCCCGGGTCACTAACTGCCTGCATACAAAATTTCAGGGAGATCTGTCCAGTAGTTTTTGCGTGAATCTTTAATACACAGACAGACAGACAGATAGACAAATATTCTAAAAATCAGTAATTTTGCTTCGGTATCCTTTACTTAGTCCCCTGGACTTGTTTTTTCCAGAAAATATTAGAATTACAGACACGACTTTTATACAGATATATTATATGTATAGTTTTTTGTCAGTTATTTAACATGAGTAAAAGAATAAAAGAAATCATGCGCCTTGTTGTTATTCCAACGAAGCCAAACGACTTAATAACGCATTGTATGTGTGTGTCTATATATATGCATATACAACATGTAACATAATTAACGCACTTTGAGAAAGTAGTTTGTTCAGAATCGTTTACTGAATCTATTCCTATCATTTTTAATATAGGTAATTTTTTATCCCAAAAATAAGACTTTTAAGAGTGCAGTTTTATTTGTATTGTTACTAATTCTGTCATTTAATAAAAATAAGGAAAAATGAACTTTATTTCAAGCACGTTAAAGTCTTTACGTTCGTGGATTTGTACTGTGACCACGACATTCTTCCGGAATTAGTATAACTAATTTGATAAATAATCAATGCATAAATATGTTTAACTAATAATTCAGTGTATTCATTATGATTATAATATAATATACTAATCGGGGTGTCTGAGGGTGTGCGTTAGTTACGTTACATATTGTATATGATACATATCAATATATCGCCAATTTAGTTGATAAACTACCGTCTAGCAGTCCTTTGCCCACTCACCCCTCCAACATTAATTTGCTTTGTCACTTTCCACATTTATTCTTTCCACGTGTACAAATCACTGAAGTATTCCTTTCTTTAACTAGTTACAGTCACAACATCTTGTTGCAAACCACACTTTTCCCTTATCACACAATTTTTCACTCTATCATTCAGTCACATCTACGAGTAACGTGCTTCTTAATGAACGCATTTCTACAGCATTAATTTTACTCTCATGCTTCTTCAGCCTCACTTAACTTTCACTACCATTCGTTAAGGTACTAAACAATGCACTTTGGTTTTTCTTCATAACATTACAATTATAAAGTGATTTATTACCGTAATATTGCCAACAAAAAATTGGTTGACCCTGCAAGCCATCCCTCGAACTTCCCGCTAATTTCAAAGTTAAATTTGCAAAGCGCTCCAAATGCTACTCCATGCTTCAATAAAATAAATTTTAAAAAAAGTTAAAAACACTAAGCTCAAGCTAAGCTCAAGTGGCTTCCAATCCGTCTTCGTCGGAATACTCATATCCTTTCTGCTCTCTACTGCGTTTTATTTAATATATCAAGTCCTCCCTACCTTAAAAAACGTTTCCAATTTCTCAGCTCCTCTCACAAACTTTCCCTTCGATCCTTAGAAAACCTTTCCATTCTATGTCCCTTGCACTCTTCTACATTTTACAGTAAATCTTTTTCAGTCCTTGGAGTTAAGCTTTGGAATTCCTTACCATCAACTATAAAACGTGCTCAAACAATAGACTCCTTTAAAAACCAAGTTAAAAAACATTATCTCTCCTTCTAAATCATCCCTCCTCTTTTATCTATTCCTGTCGTTTTATGATCACTAGTCTGTCAATTAATAATAATTCCGGCATGTTTATTAAATTTCTTTTATATTTATAGATTACAATATTATTTATAGAGCACTCTACCCATTACTTAACTTTGCTGCATAGCAATAAGACCGCCTTTTGTTTTTCTCTTTGTTTGTTTCTTGTTATGTTGTATTTTTAGTGTTCAATAAAGGGTATTGTATTGTATTGTAAAACTACCTTAATAAAAAGAATAAAATAATTGCCACTTAATTTAATGGCGTCTGAACGCCGTGCGTACAGCGTATCAAAGAACCCGAACCAGTAGCTTTTTTAGGATTGATTTTATTATTTTTGGTTTTTTAAAGTCGGTATTTATTCATTTCATTAATTTAATTTTTTTACTCCTTTGACTGAACTAAGCAATAATTGTGATATTGCTC